GGCTGATGAGCGAGTGTTATGGATGGCTCAGAGGGAGGCGCGAGCTTGCTCCCGTATCGTCGAGTGCCTGCAGAGAATTGCCGTTCTCCGAATCAGTAATGGAGCTCTGGCCTATTCTACTGTGAGTACTGCGAGAAAATCAGTTCATTTGTGCATTTTGACACTACTCTGTTTTAAATTGTCTGTTTTAGTTTTAGCGATATTTCGAAATGGTTTAAATGTATTGTATTTCAGTTTTTGTTTTATGTTTTAGTTTAAACAAGCTTATTTCAGTTAATTGCAATGCAACATTTCAAAATGTATTTTTTTTAATCTAATACTTATATTTTGTTTCATTTCTGCTTTATTTCTATTAACAAAAATGTGTATATATATATGTATGTATGTTTCAGGCAGAATTCCAGAAGTTTTTTTTTTTTTTTTTTATCTTCAATGAATTCCTTTAAATAGAAACATTTAAAAAAAAAAAAATTGAATAAAAATGTAATAATAATTTAATTAAAACAAGCCACACACTTTTGTTTCTAAACCCTCCAGAATGCTTTGACACTTACTTTTTACTTTGCTGTCACTTTTGACCAATTTAATGTGTCCTCGCTGAATAAAAGTAACAAAAAAAGGTGTAGGTTGTATAGAGTAGTTTGAAGGTGACCTTGTGTTCACAGTGCTTCAGTAGTGTGTGTATGGGATGGTAACCATTCTTCTTTATTCTCATCTGTTTCACCAGAACTCTCATAACATTGCTCTGGAGGCTCATGCCATCAAGGCCAGCAGCTTCAATGGCATGACCTGCACTCTGTTCCAGAAGCTCTCACCGGAGCGCACACCCGTGGCCCATTTCTCTCCCAGAGACCCCGACATCAACCTGGAGCGCCAGCTCAGCTTCAAATGCAACGTGACCAGCAACCTGTCTGCACTGGCTCTCAAAGTAAGCATTTCGTCTCAGGTACTTCCTGCACGTATACAGTTGTTTTGTCATAACTTATAAGGCCAGTGCTTCTTCAAAGCGAGAACTCCAATAAAGCTGTGGAAGCAGGACTGTATCCATCAAGTTCTGACACTAACGTTATTGCATCTCCACGTCTGCAGAACACTGTAGTGGAGGCGTCTCTACAGCTTCCCCCGTCGCTCTTCTCGTCTCTGGGAAGCTCAGGTCAGGCCGAAGAAGCCGTCTATAAGCTACACCTGCTGGCCTTCCGCAACGGCAAACTCTTTCCTCCGACGGGCAACTCCACCCTCCTGAGCGACGGCAGTAAGAGGAAGAGTGTGGTCACACCTGTGATTCTCACAAAGATCGGTGAGAACACACACACTGCTGTTCAGACATGCACTCCAACCCACACAACCCTCTCTTCATTGCTGCTGTTATGCAACATTTCTACCTGGATAGAAAGCAAAATAAAATACAATATTCAAAGATACAGACAAATCATGCACTTCAGTTATACTTACTGTTATGCTTATGCCACATGGCTTGGTTGTACAGAGCAGGGTTATTATAGTTAACTAAAACTACGACTGCTTAAAATAAAATAAACAGTCAAAATGAAAATGGTTTTATATCGGCTAGTTAACAAGGCAAATAAAATAATGAAACAATAATAATAAAAAAATGGCAACACATT